CCACCATAAATTGAACATGTGAGTAATGAGGAAGTTTTAAGGAAAATAGAAGCAAAAAGAACATTTATTCTTAGAATCAGAAAGAAATGGTTGAAATTTCTAGGTCACATTGAGAAAAGATGGCTTGGAGAATTTGAAACTCACATGACATTGAATACAAGAGGGACAGAGCAAAGTAGTGAGTAACCTACCTAATGAGCTTGTGTAAATGAATGGCAGAACAGGAATTAGAAGGAATGATGAAATGACAAAGCTTATTAAGAGCTACAAAGGATAAGATGTTGTAGAGAGCCATGACCACCCACATTCTGAAGGGACACAGCATACAGAAGAATATAAGTATGATGATATCAAAATCAGTGAGGTTTTGTTTAACTTGTTGGCACAGATGGATGCCAAGTCATACCTCAACTGAAATAATGTGCTCATCAGAGAACAAAACCCAACCATATTCAAATATGATATCTACGTTTCTTTGCCTCTGGAAGAAACTGGGCAGATAGAACCCAGAGAAAAAAAATTGTTAGGCAACTGGGGTCATAACGGGGTTGGGGGTGACCTGTTACACATCTTTTGATATTCAGTGATTGTTATGGGAACAAGACTATCACCTTTTTCATGGACCTATCATCCAGCAAAGGACTGGACAATTGCAAGTGATGAGAATCCAACAAGATCTGTTAAATTTTTTTCATGAAATAATAAAGATAATGTGTAGGATTTTTCCCAGTTGCATGTGGTAGTGTATAGAGTAAAATGAAAAAAACTCAAGGTTCAAAATAACTATTTAACAGTTTTTATTTGTGGTTGAAAAGAGAGTGCAAAATTGTGGTATTTTATGAGGGAAAAAGAGTTGTTTCCCAATTAAGTTTTTCCCTTGAGTAGATATTTCATAGAGAGAGATTTCTCTGCTTATTTTTATGGAGGAATGTGAAATCTGAGTGTGAAACTGCTAGGAGTGGTATATGTTTTCTGCAGCAAGCGTTGTAAGTACTGTTTTGGATAGTTGCCTCGAAGGGAGATTTCTCCACTTGTTCTAATGAGGAATGAGAAATCTCAAGTCAAGCTGCAAAAGCAGGCCGCATGCCTTCTGCAGCAAGAGTTGTGAATAGTTCTTTGATCTGGACCTTGAAGGAAAAGTGGAAAAAGAGACCAAATAGAGATTGGTCAGCATTTTTATGTGTTCTGGGACTTCTTGCCATTCCCTGCTAATTACTTCCATTGCTGCTACTGCTGAATCAAGCAAAGTAAGGACAACCCCCACCACCACCACCATAGCCAACAAGTGAATGAGACAAAGTGAAAAGGCTATAAACGACGTGTTTTGTCAAGTGCATCTGCTCTCTCTGGCTTTTTCTGGTTAGAATACTTTCTAATAAGCTAGAGAGAGCAAGACACTCTCAGCAAAGCACATCATTTGCAGCTTTTCCACTTTGTCTCTTTATCTTCACTTTTGTTTCATTATCTTCACTTCAGATTCTATTATATGTCCTACAAAAATTCTCATCATGAAAGAGTAAAAAAAACATAAAATGAAATTTTCTTAATAATAAGTGTACTAAATATTGCTCAACATAGTAAAATGCCAATTTAAGATCATTGAATAACTGCTGTTTAAAAATAGTAGTCTTACATTACTCAATATGCATTAGCCATGATGCATCATCAGTGATGTTAATGCTGGATTCATTCATAGTTTTTGATCTTTAAAAACCATAAACCATGCCATCTCACTCAGCTTATACCACTATTGTTGACACATGATAGTGCACTTCCTAGCAGCAAACTACATGTAACTTTGATTTCATTGCTTTACTATTTGAACTATGTTGAGAGAAGTGTTTGAACTTGTCTCTGTGGTTGAGCTGTCTAAAGCACACCAAGTTAAACGGTAATTTCCCCTCAATGTGTGGATGCTGGTCTCAAATGCACAGGCTGTTAAACATAATTCACACAGTTTAAAAAAAAAAATAGGGTATCTACTCAAACATGTGTATCCACTAAATGTTTAGAGTAATAAAATATATACTTTATTTTGCTTATTTATAGTTTCATTCATGGTGTGTGACTTGAGGTAAAGGAATGTGCATTTCTTAGAAGAGTTTTTTTTTTTTTACATTTTCTGACATTACTTTGACTGTGTTGACCTTCTCCTAATCTATCAAGTAATATTGTTGTTTTTCATAAAAGATGACTGAAGTTACACAGTATCTCATCTGTGTATAGGGCCTGTCAAATTGCCATCTGCTCTTGGGCAATCTTGTCTTGTTTTAATCAGGAATTTTCAGACAATCATAAATTACCTTGGCAGTTGACCTAGTTCTAAATTTGGTCATTATCCAATATTTCTCTTAATCCTTAATCTACAAATCTCTTTCCATTCCCTTATTTGGGAATAATTGTCTTCCTTCCCTGGCGGTCTCTTCTTGTTTATTGTCATCTTTCACTTACTGCTTGTTTATCTTTTGCCTCCTAATAATTTATTTAGTTTATATTATTTTTATTTTATTTATTTTCAAATTTATTCTTTTAATTTCAAAACAACACTTGGGTAAATCGTAATCTATAACCCTTTTACTCATCTAGATTTATCTGTGCATAACATATTTTTAGGATTGGGAAGGCTGAGTTTAATATTTAAATGTAAATGGTTTTCTACTGCTGCCTTGTAAAATCTGGGCTAGCTAAAGTCAGTTGTGCTACATACCTATTGCTGCTGATTATCACATGATATTTAGAAATATTTGACTAACAAGTAAGGGATCTATCACTTTAGTTTAAAATCCATTTTCTTTCTCTATTAAAAATATTGTATCAAGTTTTCTTACCCAATACCTGCAGTTGTAAACCATTAGCATTTTTAATTGATAGGGAAGATGCAGAATTTAAAACCAACCTGGGTAACAGGGAATTATCAAGGATTTGAAAAATAGTCACTTTTTTATTTTTTTATTTATTTTTTTTTTTTTTAAGAAAAATCAGGGAATTATCAAGCAATATTGGATTAATACTGTGGAAATCGGGGAATTTTCTAATGCACGTTGACATGTATCAAATGATGCTTATTTTATTTTAGATTAAAAATAAATGCTGAATGTTATTGATGTGATTTTGTTTTTGTTGTGTTTTTTTTTTTGTCTAGGAATAGTAAAATTTGTATAAAAATGTCTGCTTCTTTTCCTTCCTGACAGAATGAACTGAAGTCTTAATCCAAAATTTGCTTTATGGATCATGCTGATGAAAGGTGATCCTTGTAAAATTATATGCAGTTTTTGCCAAAAGACAATTTCATTGAACAATACAGGAAGATGGACATTTGTTAGTCACATGGAAAGTGAAAAACAGGAATTTTTGTAGCTGTGCTTCAAATCTTTTCATGAATGGTTAAAACAAGGATCTTCTGAGTATATTTTACTACAACATTGGTTCAAAGGAAGAATTATGAGGTGTATGCAAGCTGATATTGATTCATATTCATGGCAATGCCACTGTTGAAAATGGCTTTTTTTGTAAATGAAAATATGGTGATAGAAACTTAACATTAGGTGTATGATACCATTATAGCTAGTAAGGAGTGTGGGGTGTCTTGAATATTAGATATTACTAGCCAAGATTTCATTCTTGTTATCAAGAATGTTTAAAACATAACCAAGGAGAAGAGAGAAAAGAAGAATGATGGCAGGGGAATAAATTAAAACCTTGGAAAAGAATTGTTTAAAGTTGAATATCAGAAAAGAACTAAAAGACATTAACAGGACCATTACAAAACTTAACCAAGAAAGTAATAAATTTGAGCATATTTAATAGTTGGAGTAGAGATGTTACATTGAGATCATCAAACCTCCAGGTTTGCAAACATACTACTTGTCGACTTCTCTACCTTCAAACAGAGAGGAACCCAGATGAGGCTATCCCAAAGGGCAGAGTCTCATCTGGGGAGGTAGACAAACCTGACTTTTATTATGGTGTCTATGGGAAATTTTTGCCTGTGCCTACAGGCTCGGAATGCCCACATAAAAAAAAAACAGCCTTGTGCCACATCACTCCTTGTGGGGAGGGCTTGGGTAAATACCGAGATGTTGCATTGTATATGATGATAAAGTTTATATTCTGAAATGTTTCTTTGTTCAGTCATCTTTTTAGCTATGACCAGTACAGCTGTAGACTTACCTACTGTTTGTTTACTGATGTCCCAAAATCAGGAATTTCACTCATTGATTAGGTTGGGAATCCTGATATGGCACAAAAAGTATACATTGACAATCAAATAGCAGTTAGCAATAGTTATAATACAACTTTTTACCATCAGTCTTAGTAATATAAATGTTCAAACTCAATGTAGGCATTATTCTTTATATTGTGACTATAACTGCAATATAATAATGATGAACATATAATCTACATACTTAATACTCTCTTTTCCAACTTACTATCATAAAATGCCAATGGAAGAGTTCAAGGTGACTGGTGAGGGGACTGGAAGTATTAGATTCATTTTTTTCTCAAGAACATTAATATATATTTGACTTCTGGATTTCCTTTCCTCACTTGCTATCAAATATCATTGTTTACATTTGGATTAATGTTATCATTTTTGTTACTAATATCATGACATTTTGACTGCTGGGTCCTCTGTCTTTCTTCAAGTCTCTGTCAATCCAGGTAACCTTCAGGGAATTTCAAACTGAACCAATCAGTCTATGGTGGTAGATTGTTCTCATTCCATTGTCCTTGTCAAGTGATATTTCATCTTGTTCTTTTTTTTGGTACTGCTTGCTTATTGCTCTCCTTGTTTCCACTGAATCTGAGTATCTATTACATGACCCAGAAATTAAACTTGCAATGACTATGCCACCAAATACACAAACCAGTGATTTAATCTTTTAATATTTTCTTTTCTGTTTGTATTTTTTATTTCTACATAACTATATGATTGGCTACAATGCTTTGATAAGTACCAGTCCTGCATTATTCTTTATTTTTCCTTTTTTTCTTTTTAGGATTCACTGCATGTGTGTTACAATGATGAAGCTTCAAACCGGTTTGCACCTTCAGAAATTAACTTCCAGAGTATAGCAGCTGCTTTTACTTCAATTCATGATAAGAAAAAATCTGTTAGTCTCATTTATTTTCTATCTAACAGTTTTTTATTTTTTATTAAATTTTATAAAAGTTAATACACTTATTTATATTACTATCTTAGATTTTCAAATTGAATATAAAATTTTTTTAAAATTGGGATCTAGTTTGCCCTCAAAATTGATCCCGAAGCCAAAAACAAATATGCCCATATGACATGATTTAATAATGTAATGTCAGATGAACATATTTGTTTTGGCTTCCATTGGAATGGGGGGGATCGATTTATAAAGCAAACTGGACCACTTCCTATTAATTTTTACAAGATTTAATAAATTTTGTTTTTAGATATTCATAACTTGGAGTAAATCTATAGTGATATGAAAAAAAAAAATTTTTTTAAATAATTATTTTTGGTTGCTATGCTTACAGTAGAACTCCCCCAAATATATATATATTTAAATTATAAAATAATTATAACAGAGCCCATTCATCTGTGTTTTTTAAAAATCACCATCACAATGTAATGCTGATTTTATCACAGTTACAATAATTTTGTCTTTGTAATTCACTCCTGAGGATGTTCTTGGAGGAGATTGAAAGTACTTAGGTAAGAAAAAACTATGGCGCCTTTGTTGATGTAATTCATCTTACCATCAAGAAACTAATTGGAGAACTGGAAAGGATCATTATAAAAATAAATATAGTATGTATATATTATTCAATGAAACATGTTTGAATGAAAATATGATGCCTAATATATATATATATGTGTGTGTGTGTGTGTGTGTGATCTAAAACATGACTACCCACTTAAGGTTTTGATAGCTCTTATCCTATCAGTTATGGAATCTATGAAATCTCTTTGGGTATCCTTTGGAATCTGGTTTGTTCCAAGATGTTAACAGCAAATAGTTCTTTATATGTTGGAGATTCTGCAAAGTGAACATATCATTCTAACTCATTATACATTTATGGGATTGAGAGCTGGAGAGTTTAATGGTTAAGGAAACACTGTGAAGTCTTCATTTTTCTTAAAACCATTCCTAAAAATCATACAATCTTGTGTTGTCCTGCTGAAAGAAGATATCGCCCTTGTAGAAGACTGTTTCCATGAAAGGGTGTTCTTGGTCTTCAGTGATGGCGAGTTAGGTGGGTAGTACACAACAAATTATCTTTTGCATGAATGATAGGCTCCAGTGTTTCCCAGCAGAATGTTGCCAAAACTATTACACTGCCTTCACTGGCTTTTCCTGCAATGCATTTCTAATGAAACACACATCTCCTGTTGTTCACACTATTTAAGAGAAAGAGAGACAAGGCAACCTTCTTTCATTTATACAAGGTCCAGTTTTGTTGAAAACACTTTTGTTAATAGCTTTTTGCTAGCATGGATAGTCTGAATTGCTTGCAGCTACACAACTCCACACACAAAAAGGATTGATGTACAGTGTGTTGTAACATTTTTCTTACTTCAGTTGATTAAAGATATCTGTAGTTTGTGCCATTGTAGCCCTTCTGTTGGGTTGTACTTGATGGGAAAGCTTCAATTGTTGCATCAATAAGTCTTGGTTACTCAATGTTTTTTTTTAGTGGGTGGTGATTTTTCCCTCCTCAGCCAGAGGAAACTCAGCACAAGTGTATGTGAGTACCTGACAAGCTGTACTGTTTCAGAAATGTTCTGACTTCATCTTCTAGCCATAACAATTTGAATTTTATCACAGTCACTCAAATCTGTTTTCTTTCAGCAGCATTCCACACCTCATAAGTATTGAAGGCCATCTTAACTGTTTATAGCCCTTTTGTCTCTCACATAAGGCAGAAGCTGTGATTCTTGCTACATATTTTAGTCATAATTGTTTTTCAGTGAATGTTATATATATATATATATGTGTGTGTGTGTGTGTCTAGTGATAGTTTCCTCTTTGCCATCATGGCCCGCTGGCCCAATGGTATGATGCTTGTGTTGTATTGTAATAGTCTGAGTTTGATTCTCAGGGTCAGTAGAGGATGTGCACTGCTGATGAATCCCAAAAAGGGCAAAACTGTTGTCAAGTGCTTTTCTGCATGTTTGTATATTGAGGATTCTAGGTCTAGACATGATAAATTATGAATATACACACACACACACATATATATATATATATCTATATATATATATCTATATATGCAACAAACCTTGCCATCCTTTTGTACGGCTCAGTTGTGAACTCCATATAGGTACCATATATGCCTGATGACAGGATACCCAAGATCCTAATGTACAGCCAGTTAGATCAGGGCTACAGGAATGTAGGATGCCCATAGCTAAGATACAAAGACAAGCTGAAGAGCAACTTGTCAGCTGTCAATATACCACATAACACCCTTGAGCTTAGCCTTGGAGCAGGTAAAATGGAGATCACTGTGTTTTAGTGGACTCAGCAGTTTTCAATCTGCTTGTCTGAATCATCTTCAAGAAGCAAGAGCAAGATCTAAAAGGTCAGCCAATCTAACAGTGATCTCATCCGACAATCTTAACTCTTGCTTCATATGCCGCCTCCTTTGTAAATCACTAGCAAGTCTTAAGTGCCACTTAAGATTATCACACAAAATTTCATAACTGAATCAATTAATTTATCAGATCTTCATACAGCGAAACCGACAGGAGAGTCCATTAGACAACAAACTATGGTATTGGTAATACCAACACAAAACTTGCTATATGACCTTATTTATATAATATTATTTATATATATGACCTATATGAGAAGGAAAAAAATTAAAAACAAACATACTTTCACAGTAAAAGACAGTGCTCTATATCTAAATGAGAAAGATAGCAAATATGCTATCCAGCAATGCTACTCAAAAAAAGACAAAGTTTAGACCATATCTAGTTTCATGCTACCAGGATTGTCAGTCAACCATAATGTAAAATTTCCAGTCTACTGACCAAACTGATCATGGTGAGTTCAGAAATGCCCCATAGTTGGAAGTCTCAAGCATTACACTGGCATTAAAAAAATAATAAAATACCCAAAAGAAATATCTCCCCCATGCCTATTAAGGGTGCTCAATAGTCTAGACGAACCTAAGCAAACCCATTATATGCTGCCTTCAAACTGATTGCAGCATAAACTTGAACTCAAGCTATGATCATCTTCAATTACTTAAAATAAGTTTGTGTGTGTATATATATATATATATATATATATATATATATATGAGAGAGAGAGTGTGAGGGGTATTTTCTTGTTTTCTCCCCCAGATTTAAAAAAAAAATTTCCTCACAAGTGATTATTTCTAATGCTGTGTACTTTGTCATTTAAGACTTTGGGAAAGTTGCTTAAGATAATTTTACTTAGATCCCAGACTGGCCACTTAGCTATTCCTCAGATAAACATGGTTATCCTTCATTGGGAGGAGTTTTCCTGTGACTGGTTAAAAATATTGAATATTTAATGTATGGAGAGCATAATAACTTGCCAAATGCTACTCAAGGTGTTCTAGGATTACCCTGAATATAAGTTAATGTGCCAAATAGTTTAATCTTCACTAATCAGTTAAAAAAAAATATGAAAACCTTTAAGATTAAGAAGTAGAAAGCATCTTTGATTAAATAAATGACAGTAGCATGCAGTTTTAATTAAATCCAGTAATTAGCTCATCTTATTAACACTAGATGAACTTGGATGTGCAGTTGGTGTAATGGTTGATGGCTCAGAATTGAAAATTGGAGAGCCAAGTTCCAATTCCAGTTGGGATTGTTATATTTACTTACACATAAATACTCTTGAGAAAAGTATAAATTCACCTCTTCTCTTAGCTATAGCTTGGACCAGTAAAAATCATTATATCCAAAACTTTCTGAGAAAAAATAAAATATTTTTTGGCTTTAAATAACCTGCAAAAGGTTGATAAACTATAAAAAAATCAATCAATCATAACACTGGACGAAAATAAATAAAATATATAAATAAGAAAAAGAGTGCTTGTTTACTTTTTACCAAGCAATTCAGTAGGAAGGGGAATAACTGTTTAAAAAGTTAATATGGAAAACTTTAAAATGTCTGACTTAAAACTTCAAGCAAGATGTTGCATGAAGAAAAGAAAAAAAACACCTGAAAAGAAATACATTGAAAATTGTAATTTGACTGATGTTTTTATTTCCTAGGTGATATGTTTAGATGTGACCAATGGCGGACTTGGTGTATCTTCTTCATCTGATGGTACCATGAAAGTATGGCAGACAGACACTGGCGAAGTACGGGTATGTAAATCTCAATGCATACCACTGGGAGAATGCTTTTGCTCCATTTGTCATCTGTTTTTTTTTTGTTTTTTTTTTCTCAAAAAAGGTTTTTGTTTATTATGAGGAGCTAAGTCATATCAAATTCATGAGAGGGTTAATGAAAAATTTGCTGACCAAATATAAAGCACCACATCCCTAATCTTATTTGATCATTTGGTCAGATTTTGTAAAAATGGGGTTGTAGATTGCCTTCAATCCAAGAGGTAACTCTTACGAAAAGTTAGTATGTTTTTGCGCTTTTGTTCATGATAATTTATTTTTAACTAATTGCTCAACTAATACAAGGCTCAAAAGCCACTCAAGATAGTGGATTACTGAATGAGGATTTTGTATGAATGTAAGAGGAGGAGGAGTGGATAAGAAGTGCAGATTGTGAAGATATGTAGGAAAGATATCAGTTAACCCTCGGTAGTGATTGGGGAAGCATCCTTTCTGGAGTCTATTCGACAATGCAGCAGCTCTTGGAAATAAGCTGTTCAAATGGAACTTCTTTCTTACTAATGGAATGAGGATGATTTGTCATAGTGTATGTGGCATAGCAGGTCTTAGCTGTGAAGGTCTGAACTAGTGAATCTTATCAGAACATTTGTCATGAAAATAGCAATAGTGGCAAGAAGTTTGTGATTGTCTGGGAAAGGGGTTATAGAATGGAAAATAATAATCACCAACCAGGCTGTGTAGACGCTTTTGAACTCTGGAAAGTCTGAAAAGTGAGGATAGAACAGCTCAATCCCTGATATGGCACTAATATACCATTTTTGGTCTGATCTGGCCCTTGTAAAAATAGAGCATGGCAGCAGGAGCTAGGTACTGACCATTTTTCCAGGATCTTTAGCCATGGATCATGTGGTTTCTACTTGAGGTCTGATGTGAAATTCCATTCCAGTAGCTGTTCAAGGTAAGGAACCTCATTAGAAAACAACTGTCCATCATGATAGCTGAAAATTCTGGGTCTCCTCAGTGATGTTGAAACCTTACTAGTTTGATTTTGTATGTACTAAATGTTATAAACCAGTTTTTATTTACTAATGATATGAAGTAAAAAAAAAAAAAACTTTGAGAAACTTAATTCATTTTATTTATCATATTTGAGGCCATTATAAGACCCACTTTTCCTCCAAACTATTAGAATTTCATAGATCTATATATAATACACTATATATATATATATATATATATATATATATATATATATATATTTTTTTGTGAGGTGGGGGCAGTGTGCAAAATAACAATGACCCACCCACTCAAATTCAAGTTATATTTGTTTTTGAAAAGAAAAAAAGAACTTTAGTTAAATAAAAATTATGATAGACAGACATGAGTTACAGGCAACTTTAGTCGTGTTAAATATTTGTTTTACGAATTTAATTATATTTTATTTAAATTAATTTTTGAAAAAATAAGGCTCACTATAGTTTTTGCTTCAATAAGACTTAATTTAAAATTATTTATTATTTATTCATGTGAGTAACAAACCAAAAAAACAATGAAGTTTATTTTTTCAAAGATTGAATAAAAAATTATATTCAATAACATAAATAAATTATTTTTCTATATCATAGTTTTGGGGTCCAACCCGGCCTGGACTAATTCAAGATATTTTGTTTGAAATTTTTTTTTTATAAATTAAAAAAGAATAATAAATATTAAATTTTGTTTTTAAAATCTGCAATAATGAATGAATAATAAAAAGTTAAAATAATTACACAAAAAAAATACAGAAATAGATTCAAGAGAATAGAAAATTTAAAAATACATGTAGCGTTTTGAAATTATCAACAGAATTAAAAAGTAAAAATGAAGAGAAATAATAATTATTCCCATGCATTTTTTTATTCTGAGAATTTTGAAACACTTACATGGCGAAAAATGGATTCTAATGCAATTTTGTGGAATTTGGTAATAGCTTGCGAAAAAAAAATTAATTAAAAAAATATTTGATGATACATTGCTCTTACTAGGGTGACAAATAAGCAGACTCTGAAATTATTGGATCTATGGACTGTCAAGGATTACTCAGACCTTCCAAAGTTTACACAAAAAATATTATGCTTTGGGAACTTTTGCAGTATACATAATTTTGGTTGTAAATATATAACATTTATGAAGATAATATACGGATGTCTTTCCTGAGGTGTTTATAAACTGTACACTGTTTAATTATTAACATTAACAACAAACTATTTTAAATTACAAAATTGTACTTGGATTAAACGAAAATTACTTACAATATAATACATATTACTTAAAATACATTCCTTCTTGTCATCAATTTTGACAGCATGGGTACACTAGCTTATATAATGCATAGATGGTGCAATGGATAACAGCTCAAAATCAGGGAGCTGAGTTCCAATTGCTGACAGATTATATTCACTTATGTGCAAATACCATTGGAAAAATTATGAATCAAGTTCTTCTCCCCCTCAGCTATGGGTTAATTAGTAGGACTTGTATCAGTAAATAATTGTCATCTCCAAACAGTTCTTAGAATCTAAAACTATTTTCTGGTTTTAAATAATCTGCAAAAAATTGATAAGCCATAAAAAACAAATCAGTCTTAATATTCCCTGCTGAAAAGTAACAGGTTACTAAATACAGTAAAAGGATTTTTAAAAATATAAAACTTCAGATAAAAATTGATGTTTATCTGAATTTATTTTCACCAAAAAGAATTTGTTATTCTGTAAACTTTTAAATTCTGTAGTGATCCTCTTTTAACAACTTTAAAAAAAATCTCTTTTTTTCTTTTTTTTTTTTTTTTAAGGTTTTTTGCTTCTCTCTTACTTTTTCTAGTTTTAATTTGAGATTTAAATTTGTTATATCTGGTAATATTATTTAGGTTATTTTTAAATTTTCTATTCCGGTCCATTTTTTTTTTTTTTTTTTTTAATCTTCAGTAGACAGACTTATTCACATTTTTGAAATGTGTTCAGTACTACATAAATCATATATGTTTAAATATTTCATCTTCATGTTAAGATAGGATTAAGTGTGTAGTTATCTTGACTTAACAATTTCTATGTTGTTGTTTATAATGTTTCTGCTTATGTAATATTTTCCAGAGAGACTTAGTTGAACATGTTGGAGATGTCTACACATGTCGTTTTTTCCCATCCGGTATTGTAGTCTTGAGTGGTGGTGCTGATCTACGACTGAAAGTTTGGTCAGTAGAAACAGGGAAATGTGCTGCAACATTTATTGGACACAGAGGCGGTTAGTTAATTTTTTTCTTCATTACTTACACTTGTATTTGGTAACTTTTTACAGCAGAACTTTGAACCATATACTTTTGTCCTAAGATGTAGACTGATTCATCAGTTGTATTTGATTAAAGTTTAAATACATTATATATATATATATATATATATATATATATATATATAAAAGTTATATAAAATGTAGTCATTAAGAATATTTAATAAATATTCTTAAAGACTCCAGTTGCATTTTCAAATTCCTATATTTTTACCCATGTTGGTATATATATATATATATATATATATAAATCTTACTTCCTTTTATTTACATATATATATATATATATATATATATATATATATATATATATATATATATAGAGAGAGAGAGAGACTGAAACTGAAACACTTTTTCAAGCCTAAATCATAAGGTAATAAAGCTGGAGGGCAATAAATTTGAATGCCCACTTGTCCTCACAGATCCCAAGACATTCTTCCATCACAATGCTTTTCTCTCTCATTCTCAAACTGAAGAAGCTCAAGAGAACACACATTTTCTCCAGTGACAAAACACATCTTTGATTAAAAAAAAAAAAAAAAAAAAAATTTCTACTTTGTCTCATTTTCATATATATATATATATGTGTGTGTGTGTATGTATAAAAAAAATAATAAAAAAAAAAATCCTTGATCTAAAATACAATACCAAACAGCTTCAAATAAGATACAGATAAAATGAAGAAGCCCAACAGACAGACTTTTCCACTTTGTCTCATCTTCACTTTTATTTCAGATATTACTAGCAGCATGGCCCAGTGTTGCCCATGCTTGATTCAAAAATTGTATGACTCATACAGCAATCGTTATCACTTGACTTAAAATATTTTTGCCCTTCCTTGCCTTTAAAGGAGTGATCTTTGCCATGCTGATGTTGCTACATGCCTTACTTCTTGCCTTTCTCACACAGCAAATTTTTTCTAAGCTCTATACTAAACATTAAATCTGTTACGAAAAAAGAACTAAACAAAATGAACACAAAACGATCAGCTTTAAAAAAGGACTCGTAACTGGAAAAACCGAATGAAAAAAGAATGTTAACAACAAATACTTTTTCACACCCAACCCAGTTCTACGGAATCAGAATCAACATTGAGTTTAAGCAAGCGAATGAGCCAATTGAAGTAAAGTTCCATGCAGATTTAAATTTTTCCCACTTGTGACGAATGCAGCCATCAATTTTTTTTTTCATGTTAGCATGCTAGTTAACATTCATGTCAGTCAGCTGTTGGCTCTCACGCTGGCCAATAGAATCTTCCTGCCTATTCGTGGCAGCCAGCTATAGGCTCTCACTCTGGCCAGTAGAAAATGGCCGCAAACTGCCGTAGAAGCATGAAAAAATCGATTATTTCCACTATCGATGAGAGTTGGGAAATGCAAAGTCGGTCTTGGCCTTCCTGCTAACTTGGAGCATGTGCATGTAAATTTTGGTGCAAATCCGTCCAAAATTGCGGCCGTGCATTCATTACACGCACACACATCCTGCCTTTTATAGATAGAGATACATCCTACACACACGCACACACATATATATATATAAGTACTGTTTTCCTGTCACTTTTTAACTTTTATTCGGAAAATTTCCTATTGTTTATCTTTCATTTTTGTTGGAATTTTTGAGATGAAGAAATAGTGTAATTATATGCTTTGCTCTTGAGACCATCATGCTCATCTTGGTTTTTATACTCATAATGTTTCAGCCATTATACCCTCCAGCTTTCTTCAGACGTCAGTCATCTGTACTCACAGCTGCCAAGGAACCAGATATGTTTTATCCAATGCATTTATCCACTAATCCATGTCTCTCTTGTCAGTTGTAACTTCAATCCCTGGGTCTGGTAGTGGTGAAAAATCACTTACTCTGGTTCAGTGGAATAAACAGACAAATCACAAAAACATGAATATGACAGGTTAGTTTGGATTTATACGAGTTATCTCCCTTTAGCATGGAAAGCAGAATGAAAACAATCTACCCCTGTGGATTGAATAAAAGTTTTGACTGAAAATTGAAAGTTACAGAGTACAAAAACAGACACCTGAAGAAGGCTGGGTGGTACAGCAACTGAAGCCTCATGAATATGTTTGTCTGAATAATAAAGTATATGATAATTAAATTTTATATTAGAGAAAAAAATTTTAAATTCCTTCATGCAGAAATACTTCTTATACACAGTAAAATGTGTTGCATTTACTGCAATGTTATTAAGACACAATTATTGTATTTGCACTTAATGATTTCTTAAAATGATGCAATCTATAATACAAATGCATTCTCTATCTAACCTATGCATCTAATAATGTATGTGTCCCTGTGGGAGAATATGATATAAACAATGTTGGGTAATTGAATGACAAAAATGGAAAAAATTATCAAATATGTTTGGACACCAGAAATCTTTAAAAATTTAGCATTCCTACATCTTCTGTGTTTTCTCTCAGTGTATAATTATAACGACCATTTTAGAGCAGTGAGAGTCTTGCTACATCCTACCTGTGGGAGAGAGGTTGTAAAGTAGAAAATAATTTGCTACCCATAAGGGCTCAGAGACACTTCTGAATTCTATCAAGGTTGGAGAATGAGGTCTGGGTAACTCTCACCCAAATATTACAACAGTACTTAATTTTTGGCCTGATTGGTGGTAGTTCAGGATCAAATTGGCGATAATGAAATGTAACTAGCTTGTTCTTTGAGACACTGAATGTAACCAGCCTGTTTTTACCCCCATTGGGTAGAGTTTGTGTAAGATCAGAAGAGATCAGTCACCAATTACTGACTGTCAAGAGTTTTAGAGGTGCCCCCCGTATATAGTTATCATTGGCATAGATATTTACAAATGATCTAAGTATATTCTCAGGTAGATCATTTATATAGATCAAAAAAAAGTGTTGGTCTGAGGAGTGAACCCTGGTGGCACCTGTGTTGGCTTCTAGGGCTCCAGTGGACTGGCCATTGATAACTAACATCAGGGACCTACTTGTTAGGAAGGATTTTTAAGATCAAGAAGACCCTTCCAGTGATTCCATAACTGGAGAGCTTGTGTAGTAAGCCTTTGTGCTGTACCTTGTCAAAGGCTTTTGAGATATCTAGTGCTTGAGGTGTGTTTGTCATCAAGAGTCTCACTGATTCTGTGAGTGATGGTAGCTAGGATGTTGGCAATGAATTTGGGGCCATTGCTGAAGTGTTTGTTCTTTTCTAGGTACTCAAGACCTTCTTATCAATTATGGCCTCAAAAAACTTGCTGATGATACTGAGAAGACTGATGGGTCTGTACTGGGAGGGAGAAGCACACACCCACATTCTTGAAGACCAGGCATACACTTGACACTTTCTACAGGCTTGGGAAGAATTTCTCCTTCAAGCAGCAGTTGAATAACTTTGCTAGGTTTGGGGATAATTCCGAGTTGATATTCTTTAGGGCAACTACTGAAATTTTGTCTGAACCAGTGGCTTTCTTAGGGTCAAGGCCTTTGATAAGTCTAGAGACTTTTTGTGCCGTGATAGTAATATTACTGAGATTGTGCTCAGTGAAACTTGAAAACTAGGAGTGGGGATGGTCTTTGTCATCTAACATTAGATGCAAAGATAGAGGTGAAGGGGTTCACCTTATCTGTCAAGGAAGATATGACCTCGAGGACATTTATAATTGTGGACACTGCCACTTTACCTCTGTTGGTGATCTTCCAGAATTCACAAGATCCAATTTGTTTATTTTCAACCTTTGTCTGGACTGCCTGTGTGTAGCTCCACTTGGCATTTTCTAGAACTTCTTTGCAGCAATTGCAGGCAGTCCTGAATTTGGTGAGGGGCTGAACTACACTGCTCCTTGCAATAGATATTGAAGTTGTGGTTTCAGTGAGTTATGGCTGCAGCACATTCGGGGGTGAACCAGGGTTGACTGGTTTTTGCTGGAATTTTTTGGTGGGTATAAAACTCTCCATCCCAGAAAAGATCCAATCAGTGACAAGGGCAGCAGTTCTTGAGGCAGCATGCTTGAAAAATGTTGAGAGGGGAGCTTCTATCATGTAGGATCAAAAACTGTCCCAGTCTGCCTTTGCATAGTGAAAAATCATTCTATGGAATGGTACATCAGGGGATACCTTAGGTTTAGCATCAATCTGGACACTGATTAGGGAATGATTTGATGTGCCTAGTGGAGGTAAAACTTTTGATAAGCATTTATCAGGGCAGAAGGTTAGGAAGGAGCCGAGAAGATTCACCTGATGTCCCTTCTTGTCCAGGACCTGGGTAGGTTCTCTGATGACCTGGGTTAGTTCATAGGCAATGGAGAAATCTCTGCAATAATTGCCTTCAGCATTGGTTTTGTTGGAGTGGATTAGCCACTCTTTATGGTGGATATTGAAGTCACCACAGATATGAAACCTGGTCGAGGGGAATTGAATGAGGATATTATCAATCTTCACAGATATTTGATCGAAGATTACCATTCCATTGTTCTGAGGATTGTAGAGAGCAAAGACGAGTGTGGTACTATGGATAAGTGCCATGCAGAAGCACATATACGGGAGATCAGGTTCCTTGTTTTTTTTTTCATCCCTGCCACAGGGAAAGTCCTCATTGATGTTGGCTCTGAGTCTGTGGTTTTGATGATTTAGGCAGTGATGTTTGGCTATAAGAGGTGAGTAGCCTGGGGCTGTGAACTCTCCTAGTGCACATGAAGTGTTGATACCGGTTTAAAAAAATAACAGGAGTTCTGGTATGTGTGTGTGGTGTAATAGATAGCTATTCAAAATAAGAAAACAAATTCTATTTGTGTTTGTTACATTCACTTATGAACAATATCCTTAGGAAAGGTATGAATCCATTTCCCCTTAGCTATAGATTAAATAGCAGGGCAGACTGGGCTCTTTAGTCTTGGTTGGCAACCAGTCTAGTAAAAGGACATCTCTGAATTCAAAATCTGAGTGCACTTGTGCTCTGCATTCATTTCTTCCAAAAGGTATGCTTGGTTCTGCACAAACCTTCACCACTATATTCAAATCTTATCTGGCTGTACAGAACTGAGCTGCTAGACCCTCATATGCCAAAGACAACAAGAAAGTTCATAAAAATATATATATATATATATATATATATTAAGATATATTAATAATAATAAATATACATTTATTTACCTTACCAGTAGCATAATGTAGTTTCATGCACAATGCAATTGTGAGGTACTGATTGAAAACTGACTCTATGTGCAAGATATATATATAGATATATATAGATAGATATATATATATATATCATAAAATCTGTGTAACCCAATTTTCCAGGGTAAATCTGCTGCTACAGGATAATGGTTAGTGAAGCTAGTAGTCTGGTTAACTGTTACTATTGAGTAATGAGTTTGATCTTCACTGAGTGCCCTATATAAAAATTCAACATTAAATAACCCAACAACAGGTGATATGTCATAAAAACAAATTATAACCTTTTCTTTGTGGGAGATGCAAATAGCGATTCTCTCCCTTTTGTGGAGATAAGTCACATGGGTCATGTAACATCACTCCATACAGTAACGAAAGCAGCAGTTCTTTTGCAGCAGTCACCATGGGAGGTTGCTTTCTTTTATTTTGGCCCTAAGGGCCCAATCTGAGGCTAAATCTGCCTTGCTCAGCAGCTAACAAATCCATGATGCTGTTTCCCTTTGGGAATACATCTTTCCCAGATATAGAATGAAACTTCAGCTCACAGTCCTTAATTTGGGTAATCCTAAAACTCACTGTTTCCCCATTCATGGAATATGTCTTCACCTGGGGCATAGAAGAATCTGACTTGTTTGAATCTGGAGTCCTAAACATGGCTTTTCCAGATACATGAGTATCTCTATATTATCTTCCGTTTTGTTTCTCTTACACTCAGCTTTGCTGTGTAGATATATATTTTTCTCTGTGGGATATGTGTATATATGTACATATAGTATTGTGTATGCCTTAGTAGCATAAAAGTCTCTCTGAGAACAAAGCATGTTTGTCACTTTTTTTTCCTTTCAACCATTCCATCCATGAACTACAGAGTTATTATATCACAGATATGATAATGCTCATAAGAGGGGAAATACAAATGGGAGAATAAATCTTTCTTCCTTAGCTCTCTCCCGTTACATTTCTAGTAGTAATTTTCTTATATTCATATATCTACAATATGTATACTCATTTCCACAAACAAAAAATAGACTTGTGTTTAATATGAATCTTTTATTTTATGCTTAATTGAAATTATTGAAAACTGTATGTCATGGAAATTACCACTGCAAACCAAATGTGTTCATATTGTGTTTTTTCCCCACCAATTTTAGCTGTCTTGGACACTGCCATTGTAGAACGTGGTCGGAATATTGTCTCTTGTAGTCGTGATGGAAGTGCCAAACTTTGGGATTGCAGCCAACAAATGTGTCTGGACACATTTGAAGGAATGGCAGGAAGTGTCAATGGTATTTCAGTTGGAGTCACGGAAAACTCACTTGACCTCGGACAGCCAGACAAACCTCCTGGTGAGCAGATTATAATTATCTTTTTATATTGTTTCGTCAACTGCTCCAAATGATAAGTTGTTACAGTATTGAACTGGGACTTGTAAGGCTTTTGATTTTGTGCTGTGTAAATGTAATTTACATTAACTTAGGCCAAAAATCTATGATTTTAAATAATTGCTTAAGTTTTAATGTTTGTACTTTATTGGTTCCAGAGACATTTCTTTGACTGTTGTTTTTTTTAATTTGGTGTTAAAGATTTGTATAAAAATTGATCTGTGGTAGACATTTTTTTAAGTTTATTACAATTCCCTTAATTAAAATAGTTATTTTATGTCATCTATGAAAAAAATTAAAGTTTTTGTTTGAAATAATTTTTTAAAATTCAGTTGTTTGTTTTTTGTTTTTTTTTTGTTTTTTTACTGTTCTTTTTTTTTTTGACAAATTACTGAGGGATAATTTTTGCCTGATATCAGATTTATTGTGGGTCCAAACAACAGATCTGACACCAGACAAAAGTTCCACCTTAATAAGATCCAAGAACAAATTGATTAAAATCTTTTACCATCAAAGCAAGAAGAAAAGAAGCCAATATGCCACATTGTAATGCAGTGAGAACCATATTGTTTTGTTTAGCTTCATGGGTGGTATCAAAATGACATTCTGTTTCAATATATAATCATTATCTACTCATACTAAAATTTCTTTTCATTAATACAAAAAGGATATTTGATGTTACATAAATCACATAGATCTCAGAAAATCATATTTGTAATATAAATCGACTTTGGAATCAAATATCGAATTCTTGAATTACATTTTTTTTATTTTTGGTATTTGTTCACATCCTCCTCATAAGACTCTAGGAGAGTAACTCATTGCATCTCTTTGAGCTAACATTTTCTGCTGGCATGAAGTAGAAGGTTTATATTGAATCAGTTGCTAGGTCTGCTACTAGAAAAGTTGGTTCACTGTGTTGTGCTCAACAATTTTTATCTTCAGAATATATCTTACACATTTATGATTCTACTATTCATCCATGCATCAAATATTGCTGCCACATCTGGTCTGGTGCTTCTGCTATATATGATAAAATCCCAAAAAGAATATGCAATATTACTGACCTAGAATCTCAACTTTAGTCACTTTCCCACTGCTGCAATATAGATTCCCTTTATCATTTCTGTATGTTCATTGTAATTGTTATAATGAGCTTTCATCTTTGCTACCTTGACTTTATAAATTTAAACACTGTACTAGATTGGCAGCTAGGTCTCATCATTTTACAGTTGACATGGCTCAATTTAACTGTAAATTCTATACTAACAGTTTCTTCTATCACACTTCTTACGTGTGAAATTGTCTTCCAGCTGCTTGCTTTCCAGTCAACTTCGATCTTCAAAAATGTAAATGCAATGTCAATCGTTGTCTTCTGTCTTCTTAATTCCTCTTCTTTTATTGTTCTCTCTCTCTCTTTAATAGTGTTTTTCTTTTTCTTATATTCTTTCACACTTAGTAACCCATTGTGTTTTAGCGGCTTTATTGCCTCATAAATGGAGTGAAATGATAAAAAAAAATCACATTGACTAGAAATGTGTTGCTTACATTTGTCATTTGAATGTTTGATTTTTTTTTTTTTTGTTCCATAGTGTCCTATTAATTTTATTAGTGTCAAATGATTTTTTTATATATCAATGAATGTTTAACAATAAAATTGCTTTCAAGGTGAACTTAAATGTAAAGACTGTTCAAAAGTTAAAATGTAATTGAGGATTTCTCATGAACTGTCTCATTCTGGGTATGAAATAAAACTACATCCAGCAACAAGACCTCTGATCAGGAGATTGTAGGTTTGGATGAGCATGGAACCACCTCTTAATTGCTGTTGTTCCCAGGTTCAACCTGACCCAGGGTGGTAACACTTGTTAGGGTCCCAGCTATGAGCAAATTGTGAACCCACCCCCAAACAAAAATCAGCAATACATTTTTATAGCAAAATGACCAACAATATTTTTTATAGTAAATTACCAGCAATACATTTTTTATAAAAATTACCAATTGATATGCTACTAAACAAAATCAACGAACCAATTTATAAACCATCAGGTTAATTTCCAAATTAATCAAAATTTAATGTATGCAGCCGTAAAGATTATTCTACTTTTCAAAAATGTCAAGTTTGTAGGAGTACACTAAACATAAGCTATGTTTCATTCAGATTGAAAAACAAAATTTTAGGAATGCTGTATTCTTTGAAATATAAGATGCACTGGTGTATAAGACATATCCATATTTTGAAAATAGTATACAATGAAAATTAAAACATTGATTATGTGATTAACATCCAAGGGAACAGGGAACTAAACCATATATAATAGTATTATTATTTTTTATGAATAATAATTTTATTATATTGGATGCAAACAGATTTAGGCATTCAATTTTAAGGTAAAAAAAATGTGCATGTTTTACACAAAAAAAAAATGGTATATATGGATTTCTGGTGTGTCTCTGCAATGGCAGACTTACCTAAATTTTGTTATCTTTTTCTCAATAGTTTATTAAATGGTCAAATTGTAGATCAATATGATTGAAAAAAGTTGATTTTAAAATTAGTATAATTTTTTTTTTCTTTTTTTTTTTTCTTTCAGATTTTTTTGGGGGCAGGGTCTCATTTATACTGTCTATGCCTTCTGATTATATTGATTATAATTTAGAATTAATAATAAATTAATTCAGTCTCAAGATTCAATCATTGGCTCCTTTTCAGTCATCTTTATTATACCAACTCCATTTAGTGTGTGATGGGGAAAGATTAGTTCGTTTGCTGTTGTATGATCACCATATATTTGAACATCTGTTTCTTTATAAAGATGGCTTACAGCCATATCATGTTAAAACACATATTTGTTACTTTGTACTTAAGCATACACATGCACTTAAAAGATGCAGATGTGGAGTTGATTAGAATGCTTTTAGGGACAGAGTTGTGAAAGTTTGGTTTTCCTTGTCATCATAACAGATATTCAATAAAGATATATACAAATAGTTGGCAAAAGGTTTCAGCTATCAAACGGCAAACAGTGATGCAGTTGTATGCCTTAATAACAAAGCAACTAGAAATTAAGTCAACTCTTCATTTAGTCATATTTTTGGCCAGACCGATTTAAAAGGATAATTTTTTTTTCTTACTGGGCAGTAAAATTGAAATGTACTGGCATTTGATATGAATGGTAATGTTGAGATTAGCCTTTTCAGGAAATGTTCAGCACTTATTGGCTGAAGTTAGTGTAACTGTTGATTAAAATTTATAAAATCTTTCTCTTAAAACAGTTTTTCATGAAAACAGGTTTCTCAAGTCCAGTAAATGTTATAGCTCTTTCTAATATCATTGGGAGTTTACTTCCCAAACTTTTGTTTAAGGTACTGTGGAAAGTCAACATTTTGATTATATCATTATTTTCCCTTCTAGTCGCATGTGCTATCCATTTTTGTTGTCACTGTTGTTGGAAGACTTCAAGTGATGTGGTGTTTGTTATTAAGTAAAGTTCTTTGTGATTCTGTATTGCCAGTCTATAAAATCTGATGATGAATTTTTTTTGAGACTTGGAGGATCCAGTCATTTGAAGCAAAGAAAAGTAATGCAAATTGTTTGCAATGTGTAGGGTGTGAATCAATAAGTCCATAACCCAACACATAGTGAGAATTTTCAATGTATAATCTGATCTGTGTAATTAATATGAATCATTAAATTGTGCATTGACAGAAATAGATAATGTTGAAAAATATTTATATATAAAATAAGTATTTTTTTATCATTAAGCAATAGACTTCTTGACGTGCCTACATAAATGATTTAATATCTTTCTTGATGTGTTTTTTTCACAGCAATGACATTAGTGTAGAAAATAATTCTTTATTAAAATTCAGTTAGGTTGCCTATTTCTTATTTCTAATAAAATCTAAAATAATCCTATGAAATACTAATACAATTTTTTTAGTATAGTAGAAAATGAAATACACCAATTTAATGTTTATAAATTATTTTTTCTCTTCTATATTTCTCTTCTGTTTTTATGTAATCTTTCAGGAGAAAAGGAAGTCTTGACTGAAGGTAAAATGCTGTTGATGGCTTGTGAAAGTAACAGTTTTTTGTCATATGGACTTCAATCTCGTAAAAAGGTAACACTCAGTTTGAGATTGGATTTAGTTACCAGCTTATTCAGTTTGTTTCAAGACATTCTTTGCTATGTATCAGGTTCTGAATAAAACTAAACTCAAAGCTTCTAATGATTAAAGATGATTATTACAAAATCATGCTAATCAGATGAAAAGACATTTTAGATGATCATATTTGTTAGCATCCAATAACCGTAGAAAGTCTTAATTCCATAAAAATGAAATTAAGATATTTTATTATTTGTTTTATTTATTATTCATTTAGTTTATCTCTCAGACAGGCTAATCGAAATTTAAGCTAATTTATATTAAAACTACCATTAGTTATATTTTGATGAAATAACATGATGAAAAAAAATTAAAATTCAGTTGGCATAATTTTCATTTCATGTAATAGTTTTTAAAGAAAGTTGATTTAAAAGGAGAGTGACTTTAATTAAAGCTTAAATTGTTAAACTGATGTCTGCCTCTTCTGATGTTTTCTTACCAGCATCAGGATAAGATTTATTGCCATAAATTCATAGAAATTAGAACTACTGATGTTGGTCAGGATAAATATCCCTTCTTTCTCAAAGTGAGTTCTGCAGTTTTAAAATCTTTAGTTACCAAAGTTATTGCTAGAAAAAAAATCTTAGATATATTGATGATTTCTTGTCATAGAATAATCACATTAATTATATTCTGTTTGAAAAATTAATAAAATATACCCTTTTCTCTGACATATAACACCTATTTATGAGGTCTGGTGAAAAAGTATCAGGACTGATGCTTTAAAAAGAAAATTACAACACATATAAATTTGACATTTAATCTCCTTTGAAGTAGTCTTTTTTCTGAAGTCAAGGATTTTATCTAGCATCATTTCACTTGATAGAAGCATTCCTGGAATTCTTTTTTTGGGATAGCAAGTCAATGCCTCATTGCATTCTTTTTGATTTCCCCAACGAAATCTTGTTCCTTTCAAGTGGGATTTGATTTTTGAGGAAGAAAAAGTTGCAAGGGGTGGGATCTGGGTAATATTATCGAACATGGGGAATGTTGTGCATGACCAAAAACTGCTGCACAATCATGGTCACTAATGGAACCTCTGTGGTGTGGTGAGATGACCACACTCTACACACTTTTCTTCCAAGCACTGCTATAAACAATGGAAGTGAGCAAGAACATTATAACAGTGTGCATGCATGAGTTCAAGATCAATCTGTGCCAAGCTGCTTCCTTCTGCATACCTTAGCTCTATTACCATAGCAACAGTTCTGGTATGTTTTGATCAGACCTCATATAATTTGATAAGCAAAATATAATTCTCTTGAACTGATGACTCTGAGCAACCTTTGTCACTGCTTTCTTTCTCTCAATGGGTCCTTTAGTCATTCCAATGGATTGAGATTGTCTCAGTGTCTGGGTTGCCTGCTCAGGCATTATGTTTCTGATCCAAAGTGAAGTTCTGCTGCTTTGATTCCTTGGCAACAGCTGTATTATTAACCCTCTACCTTGAGTGGCTCTTGTATTGGATGAAAGACAGAAAGAAAAGAACTATATGCTTTCCATTGTCTTTTTTATATTTTAACATTATTCTGATTTGTAATCATAACTGACTAATTTCTAATCATATATTTAATTCTGTGATCATCAAGGTATTAGTGTGTCAAACAGGAGTGTTGAGATGTTTGTCTAGTTCCAATAATCATGTCTCTTTTGATTCATTACTGAATAAACTGAAGATTTTCCCCACAGTAGGTTGCTGTTTCTTTCTGGGGTAGACTGGCTGCCAACCAAGACTATAGGACTCTGTTCTGCTATTCAACCCATAGTTAAGGAGAGAAGAGATGAATTCATATCTTTCCGAATGGTATCTGCACATAAGTGAAAGTAACAAACCCAACTGGCATTCAAACTCTGCTCTCCAATTTCTCATCATTGCTTAATTTGATAAAATCAAAATTACCAAAACGAATGAATTTTTTTGTTTTAATTCTCCTGCAAAAAATAAAATGAGCAAAAGTCATTGAAAACCTTTTATTCTTGTTAAATAAATCAATTCCTCTATCAGTAAATATTTTATGTCTTTACTATTTTTTATTGTTTGTGTTAAAAATTTTGACTTCATAATTGCTAAATAAAAACAAAGCCAAATCTGGCACAAGGTCACAAAAAGGAGTACCCAGTGAAGATCAAACTTACATGTCAGATTTTAAGTAAGAATTGATATGCATTTTTGGATTTATTATTTACTAAGTTTATTTTCATCAAAGAGGGGCTTAGATAAAAATGTTAAATATTCAAATCATGATACTGACTTTGCTGAAAGCTCAACAAATTATGCTACAAAATTATTCTTTTTTAAAGAATAATATTTTGGTGATGTTTTTATAAAAATCAGATTCTTGGGGAATATTCTGCTTTTTATTTTATGGATTTCTGTTAATCTCTTTAAAGAAATATGTCCTTCCTTAAAAATGTTTTCTTTTTTCTGTCATTTCACCTTAAGCAAGGCAAAAAGCCACTAAGATGCAAGGAGTTACTGAGTGGGGGAAAGAATAAGAGGAAAAGAAAAACATAAGGAGAGAGAACAATAAAAGGTCAGGAATTAAGAAGACAAGAGCATATTAAATAATCACCAGCAAGAGAGACAGTGAAAAATGTGAGCTTTGAATTGGAGGCAACAGAATTAAGCAAATACAGAAATTTAACTATCTGTTGAATGTCATGATGGACAACAGAGTGTGTGACACAAAGATTCGAAGGCACATCAGAAAAGCAAAAGATGCCTTCAGAAACTAAGTTTTTAAGACAGAGGAATATTTTGTTAGAAAAAAAGCAAAGAATATTGAACAATTTCTTTAAATGATGATGACTCAATATGACAGATGTAGATCTACAGAAGGATGCTGAGAATACCATGAACAGAACATGTGAGCCACAGGGAAGTTCTAAAGAAGATGTGAACTTGAAGGACACTTAAATTTAAAATCAGAAAGAGACAGTTGGAATTCTGGGACACATTTAGGAAGGACTGCTTGGAAAACTTAATACTCACAGGATGTATTGAGGAGAGGTAGTGTAGAAGGAAAACGGCAAGTAAGTTACCAAATGAGTTTGTGTGACTAGATGGCAAAGCAGGGACACAGAGGGAAAGCACCAAGTTAAACATGGCTTTGAGCTACAAATGAGAGGAAGTTATGAAGAGCTATGATTGCTCACATCCTGAAGGAGTATGTCATATAAATGATGATGATTTATGAAGTAGCCTTAAGGAACCAATTCACTAAAATAAACTTTACTTTATTATATATAATCATAATAATCATACAAATCCTATATTGAGAAGTCATCTCACAAGTTTATATTTTTTTTGTTTTCTTTTTCAGATCTTCCATTACGAATGTTCTGATGCTGTCAATTGCTGCACATTTCTATCCGAAAATACTGCCGTTTGTGGAACTCAGAATGGCAAACTCTCTATAATTGATCTTCGTAATTACAAGTAACTATTTTTCCCCCTCAAAGGGCTTCAGTTTTAAATTCAACACTAATCAACCTATGCAGCTTCTTTCTGTAATATAGTTGTCATAATTTGGTTTCTTTTTTGGTTTACCATTTATTTCAGACCTTTCCAAAATGATTAGAAATTGTGTAGAATTTTCTAACTGAAGCAAAATATTGGTTTATCTTGCTAAACTAAATGTCTATGTATCGCATATACTATCTGTTGACTGAAACAGATAATCCAGACAAAGTCTCTCTCATAGAGCCTAGTGTTGCATTATATGGAATGGTCAAGAACCAAGATTATGGATTATTTAAAGCCAAAACATATTTCAGATTGTAAGAATAATTCTTGCTTTGTTTTTTTTTTTTTTTTTTTTTTTTTGTAAACATTGCATAACAATAACAATGATTTTTCCAAAAACAAATCCTACTATTCAATCCATAGCTGGGGGAAGAAATGGATTCATACCTTTTTCCAAAGGTGTTTGCACCTAAGTGAAAGTAACAAATTCAACTGGAATTCAGACTCTGCTCGCCAATTTGTCACTCTGAGCCATTATCCTTACGCTACCTGTACATCCAAAAGTTGCAAGAGCCAAAATGAAACATGAAAATCAAACATTCAAAAATAATTAACTAAAATTTTTATCTACTTCTTTAATGTTGTTTGATAAATCCTAAGAACTGTAATGATTAAAATCACCTATAATGATGTGGACAGTGGACTTGATGAGCTGAGTTCAAATTCTGGCTTAGACTGTGATGTTCACTTTCGCATTAATATCCTTGAGAAAATGTAAATCTGTCTCTTCTCCTCCCAACTATGTGTTAAATAACTGTGTAGATTGTGCTTTCTAGCATTGGGTGACAGCCAGTCTATAACAAAGAAAACTCTGGGCTCCAAACTGTGGAAAAGACAACAAGAAAACAGTCCCTAATCTTTACCAAAAATCATTGCAATTCATAGATATTAAAAAAAATCTGTGAAGAAGTGAGTTTTAGTAAACTGCTATTCGGTAGAAGCTAACCTGTAATGCATTGCTGTTAACCCCTTCATAGGTAGCACACTTAAGTCAATAGTTATTTGATAGTTTTTTTTTGTTTTTTTTTTTTTTCAGGGATATCCCCACCCCATGTCATAATCATTAATTGCTTGCATTTAATCACTGGATATAAAATTAACACATTGGCTGCTGAAAGTCAATTACAAAATCTGACTTCAAATGCCAACTTTATAATAGGTAATAAAAAATTTATGAGTTGATTTATAGCTCAAACTGAAGTCTTAACATTGTTTTCACTCTAAAAGTATCACTGTGAATGAATTCATTGGTGACGGCTGTAGATGAAAATGTATCAGAAAATGACAAGCATGTGGTAATTCATGGATGGCAGTTACTGTGTTGTTATATATTTGCTTGGTTGTTCAAGTAACTAAACTATTTTATGTTCCATGAGATAATGTTGAAGTCTTTATCATTTTATGATCTTTTGTAAACAACGTCTTGCTGTTTAAAAAGAAAAAAGTTATGAAATTTTAGCTTATTTATTCAGTTTGACAATTTCTGTATTTTAAATACCACCTCTTTCACATTGTGAATATGCATTTTACTCTTTCACTGCAGTGTTCCTCTGAAGGAATTCAAGACCTCCAATTCTGCAATTGAGTCCTTGTATCCTCATCGAGGAGGATTCTTCACTAGTGCCCGTGAGTTCACTTTTCAGTTACATTTGTGATTATAGTTCAGTGGTAGCATATTAGACCAAAGGACAGTGAGGATACAGTAATGAGTAGGATCTCGCTATCCTCTGTTCCACTTTGTCAAGTCAACCTGTTTTCTCTCTCATTCCAATCAGTGAACCTCTTTTATGTTCAAAACCAAAGTTACTTTACAAAATTTGTTTCAAAGAAGTAAAATATAAACAAAAAGACATGTCATGTGTTCAGGAAAGTATTGTGTCTCTAAGATGAGGGTAAGAATTGATATATGAACATCAGTAAATTATCAACCAGCCGAAACATCTAAAAGTTAGTCCTTTCTGACTCATAAATATTTCTGAAGAAAAAAATCATAGTAGTAGTAGTAATAACAGTAGTAGCAGCAGTGGTAGTAATAATTATAATAATAATAAAAAATTTAAATCTTCTCAAAAGCATCAAAGTCTTGATCATTAGATCCTGAGAGGGGAAAAAGAAAAATGTTTTTGCTTAAATTTATTTCATTTTTCCCTATTCATTTGTCATGTACTGTATTTTCTTATGCAAATACACCACCCCATGTTTTGGAAACTAAATACAGAATAAATTATATCCCTGAGTATAATATGAGCCCATAGGACAATCATCCCTATGTAAATTTCTTTTGAAAAGTTGTATCATATTATCCATTAAAATCACAATGTCGTGTCACACATATATTTAAGTAAGATATTTAATTTTCCATGATATTAAAGAATAGAAATGAACTGGATGTTTAGCCATTGCTTCTTTTCCTAATTTCCATTTCAAAACTTATTTTTGAATTTTCAGGGGAAAAGGGTTAACTAGACTGTTAGGGGAAGCTAAATTCCTTCCCCTAAAAAGAACAATAACTAAAAATATAATTGAGTTACTTTCCTTGTCTGTTAAGACAAAGGCACCACTTCTGAATTGAACATGGTGATCAGTTGACACACACTTAGAATTCATTGTTTTAATTTATGCAATCTTTGCTGTTATTTATGTGTTAAAATACACTTGTCTTTTATTTTCATTGGTTTTTGTTCATGATTTTGAATTCTCTTATATTTTTACAGATGATGGATCTTGTCACTATGTGAACAATCAATATGACTCATATTTGAGTTTGACTGGTCCTGATTGTGACCCTGTCTACCGTGTTGTCTGCAACAACAACTATATTTTCACAGCTTGTCGGGATGGACATATTCGAAAGTATCGCTTGAATATACCCTAAGTAAAAGCCATTCCTTGGTGCTTAGACAACACAAATGCAAAAAAGAACTGTTTTATTCTTGCCTGAAATATCAACTTCATTTTTATATAAATTAAAACTTAGCTTCTAACTCACAAAATATCTGGATTTTGTCTTTTTCTTTCTTTTTTTTTACTTTCTTCTGTGATTGTATTTTCTAAAGTTGAAATTTGGAATTGCTCCAAGTTTAACCTGTTACTAATTAAATCCTCAAAAGAAGAGATATTTAGTATTGTTTAACCTTTATGCCTACAAAAAAATGTGTCAAAAGGACTATTGTTCCTTTTGACACCACTATTACTGTATTATCAGATATTATTATCTAGATGCATAATAAATCTTTTTTCTCTAAATGAAAGTATCGTCATAGAACAGTACTTATTATTTACATTATTTACAGTCAAACTAATATCCTCATCTTTGGTGTTATGATCAACATGTTTCAACCATTGTGTACACCAGCTTTCTTCAGGTGTTTGTCAATCCAAGTAACTACATTCAATCTATGGTGGGTAGGTTGTTCTCATTCCATTGTCCATGTCTAGGGATATCTCATCTTGGTTAATTGCCTTCTTAGTACTTCTCAGTTATTGCTTGTCTTGGTTTTGCTTAGTTTGAGTATATCCATATTACCTGGTCAAGGGATTGAACTCACAATTACTATGCCACCAAATTCAGTAGAAATAAGACTAATAATTGAGCAGTACTAAAAAGACAATGAGATATCCCATTTACCCTCATCGATTGAATAAAGGGTTCAGTTTGAAATTTCTTGACACCTCAATAAGACTGGACAACACAACATCTGAAACATGTGATAGTAACAACGATGATGATGATATTAGTCTGTAAATAATGATAATTCCTCATCCCACAAATTCCGACAGAAAAGCAATACTTAGTATACAAGTGTAGAATACAATCATACTGAGTTTATTTTTCCTTGTACTTGATGAAATCAGCTTTGTGTGTCATTGTCAAGCATTTAAAATTAACTTTGTTCTTTTGACTAAAAATTGGATCTGTAATAAAAGGAAAAAAACTTCAAGGACAACAAATATGTTCATATATTTTTTTTTAATTTATTAAAAATTTATTTCTGAAATGTTTTATTGTAAAATCACAAATTATGAACATCCCTTTCAACAGTTTCTTGGAGTGACAAGACTCCACTGATTTTATTGGCACAATCAAGATTTTAAGTTTCCATCATAGTTTTGAAGAAAAAAATCTTAAGACAGAAATACTATAATACACACACATACACACACATTGATTTAAATTCTAATTCTTACCTTGTATTGAATAACTTGGAATTTGAAATAATACACTTTATGACAAACATAAACTTTCATACCTGCAAAAAATGGAATGTCGAAAAAGCAGTTTTTCCATTGACGTTTTTTTATTTTAATAAACATTATCAGAGTGACAGTATTTATTCTTTTAAAAAATGATGATTAGAATTTTAATAAAACCTAAACATGAAAGTGAATTTATACATTTTCTTTGTTGAGAATTAACAACAAAAATAATACTATTTATTTATTATATTGAATAATTAGAATTGTTGACAAAAAAATTGATAATTGCCAATTGATTCAAACTTTATAAAATGGTAAATAATAAAGATTTTATTATAGTTTGCATATTTTAATAATTTACTAAATGTATATAAATTTATGAATAAAAAATTGTTTTCATATTTCTTTATAAATTGGTAAATTATAAATATTACAATGCATTAGTGTTGACTCTTAATACAATTGTATTAGTTTTTAGAATGTTATAAACAAAAAATTATTCTTGTAAATAAACAATCTAATAAATAAAGTGTTTAATATTTTTGTTGTAAATTCTCAAGAAAAAATGTGGATCCACTGTGCCATGTGTCCTCGAGGACATATGGCACAGTGGATAAAGGCGTTGGTTAGATCCAGTGACAGACCCAAAGAAGGTGAGTTCAATTCCTGGTTAAGGCAGTGGAGAACTTTCAGAGGGAAAATTAGCAGGAGATAACTGATAACTGACATCCATCAAAACATGGCACGTGGAATTAGAACAGTCTACCCCCCAGTGATCGAAAATAAAGGGTTCAGTTCGAAATTCCAACCACCTGAAGAAGGCCGGAGCATATTAACGGCCGAAAACGTTGTGACAAATATGGCGACAAAGATGAGGACAATAGTCCGACTAATGTAAATACTGTACATAATACCTCATCTCAGAAATATAGACAAACCATAAAAGATATTAAAATCAGTCAGTCATTGTCATTGATCAAAATGAAAAGGGCAGTATTTATTTTTTGTAATTTATTTGTTAATGTTATTTTCCAGATTATACCCAGTTTTTTTCCTTGCTGACTAGTTTGGCTACATAGGTAAATTTTTTTCCAATCTCCAACTGGGCAGAAAAAAAAAGAAAGGGATTTAGTGAAAGTAAGACATTAAGAAAGAGTGTAGGAAAGTTAACAATTATCAATGTTCTTCGTAAAGAAAAGACTTTAGTGTTAAAACAATAAAGCTTTAGAAAGTAAGGAGTGTGTTTATAAGGAACTCTTGGAGGGAAAATATCAAAAAGAATGTTTGGTACAGATAAGGAAAAGTAACAGGATATTTAGGGCTGAGAAATACACCATTTTTTTTTTTTTTATTATTATTATTTTGATGAGTTAAATTGTTAAACATTGTTTTTAAAAATTAAAAAAATTTTTTTTACAAAGTCTCTTCCACAATATCAGCAATGATTTATATAAAGATAAAAAAAGGTTTTAAAGCTTTGGAATTTTTACAAACGGTTGAATCATTTTACAATCTCAGATGACTGGGTTTTTTTTTCGATTTAAAACATGCAGAAACAATTCAAAAACAGTTTCATACAGTATTATCTTTTTTAGATGAAATCATTATTAAAAAGGGAAAATTCAATTTTATTTTATGTCATTACTATCTACAAAATTAATTTTAATCAACAATGTTACTGGTAGGCTGACACATCACCTAAAAAAATGTTTTCATTGTTAAAAAAATAGCAATTTTGATTACTGATCAAAATAAAATACAAATTCCAATAAATAAAAAATTCTGTGCAGATAAAATTTTCAATACTATGGAAAAGAAAAATATTCGAAGTTTGTGAGTAGAAGTTAGCAATGTTTTCATTGTCAAAATTCTCTATGTAAATTGTTGTGCATAAAATAATGAATTCTTATGTTTAAACATGTAACTATTAAAAATGAAATGAATAATGACCCATTGTTTTTATTCACATCTATTTCTAACAGCCAAGGAACTCAAAATTATATAGAAGACAACAAATTGTATGTTTTAATAAATTAGTGACTATAAAAATGGATGAGAATATAGAGCTTTACTTAAAGGATCATATTCAACTTTTAGTTACCTTACAGAATCAGTTGCTTAAAATTATATATATATATATATTGTTAAAATATAAGTAAAAAGGTTTCATAATATTTGAATCACACGTTCGGACCTTCAACAATAATTGTTGCATTGATTGAAGAAATCTATTTGATATAAAATAAATTTTCGAATTGTATAATTTGATGTATATTATTTGCTAGTATTAGTAGCTAACATTTTTATTTTATTCTAAACATATTTATTAGTTATGGGACGATTAATCAGAATTGAGCATCAGAAATATCAGAACTTTTCAGGGTATCAGAATTGGAGAATTTTTAACCTAATTTCTGATTAAAAAAAAAAAAAGATTCTTTGGATTTTTTTTGTTTAACATTTAATTTTCCTTTCCTGGTAGTAATGTTAAAAAGATATAAATATTTATTGATTTTAAACTATCAGTAAAACTAAAATCTATAGATCATAACACGTAAGTCAAGTATGATGTAAAAAAAAATGAAATGTGCAAGTTTCTACTCAGTTTTTGAACTTTCCATAAAATTTGCTAGTTAAAAGTTTGTTTCAGTTCAAAATAAAATTTTTATTTTTAATTTCTTTTTAAACATTGTAAATTCACCTATTTAATATAATAAATTATTAATTTAATAATTAAAATTATGTAATATAAACACAAAATGAATTCATGTTGTTCTGCTGGGCTCTCTTAAGACAATTTTTATTATTTTTTTTTTTTTTTAATTTATAAAAGAGTAAAAAAAAATGAATATATGGAATTTCCACCAATGTCACATTTGATTTCTTCACATAAAATATTGACCGTGTCACAAATTGACTTTATGGTGAGACAGTTAAATTATAACAATTTGTTTTTATAATAGTTTTAATCCATAGAATCATTTTTTAGTCTTGGTTATTGAAAAGAGTTATTTTTGTTTGTATGTAAACAAATATAAATATTCTTTTCAATAACCAAAACTTAAAAAAGTAAACATTCTTTTCATGAAGCTTAAGTTTGTTTCTATGAAATTCATGTATTTCTTAAAATTTTATAGCTTTCAAAACGGATTTTCATTTTTATTTACACTTTTATTTGAAGTTTCTTGAAAAAAAGCTTTTCACACAAAAGTTTGCATTAAAAAGCCCAAAATTTAATTTCCATAAAAAATTGTATTTAATTTTATTTTACTAATATTTTTCTTTGGCATAATTGAACTTTTCTGTGTTAAATTATTATGGCATTTAAAATATTTTGATTTTTTTTTTTCATTCATTCCTCCTTGGAGTCAAATGAGATGTAAGTTTTATAAGTAGAAGTGTATAAAAAAAGTTAAAAATGAGTATTTTCAACCCATTTTTATCTGGCATGATTAAACTATAGATTTTTTTCCACTTTTAACATGATTTGTTTTAATACTTTTAAAATAAAACTAATAAAATTTCATCTTCTAATAATCTAATAAATAACTGAAAAAAATCAATCCTATGCAAAAAAAAACTTTTACAGTTGTTCTCATTATAATGAAGATTTTAATTTTATTTTTATTTTAATGCTTTATAACAATTGACTCTCATACCTTATAAAATGATCAAGTG